GTTTGCAGATGACACCAAGTCGGGAAAGAGCTTTGATCTGTTTTGAGGGTATGAAGGCTCTACAGAGGGATCTGGCCAGGCTGTATTGGATGGGCTGAGGCCAACTGTATGAGGTTCAACAAGGCCAAGTGCCAGGTCCTGCAGTTGCGTCACAACAACTCCATGCAACGCTACAGGCTTGGGAAAGAGCTGCTGGAAAGCTGCCTGGCAAAAAAGGACCTGGGGGTGTTCGTCAACAGCCAGCTGAATATGAGCCAGCAATGTGTTCAGGTAGCCAAGAAGGCCAACAGCATACTGGCTTATCGCTTTCTACAACTACCTGAAAGGAGGCTGTACCAAGGTGGGTGTTAGTCTCTTCTCCCAAGTAATAGAAAATAGGACAATAAGGAATGGCCTCAAGTTGCACCAGGGGAGGCTTAGATTGGACATTAGAAAAAATTTCTTCACCAAAAGGTTTGTCAAGCATTGGAATGGGCTATCCAGGGAAGTGGTTGAGTCCCTATCCCTGGAGGTATTTAAAAGACCAGTAGGTACGATGCTTAGGGAGTGGGCTGTGTTAGGTTAACAGTTGGACTTGATGATCTTAAAGGTCTTTTCCAAGCTAAACAGTTCTGTGATTCTAAGCTGACCAAGCATGAACTGCAGAGAAGCAAAAAGGTACGAGCACCTTTTCTTTTTAGAATTCACAGAAACATTGTAGAGGGTAGAAATAATCCCTAGGGCTCTTTAATTTAGGGTTTCTCTATTCCATCTTCCTGATAGCTGACCTGCTAAGAGGCATGTGATTTCACATGTAGATGTTAGTGAAATAAATAGTGATTAAGTTACAGGGCAGTTATAAATTTTGATGTTATACAACTCCCAGCAAAAAGACATAATTTCTCCTTTAAATCACTTTAAACATTTATATTTTGCATAAACAAACTGAACAGGCTGAGGGAAAAGGCTTAGCAAATCATTGTTATTTATATTAATTTTGTCAACTGAAGAGCTCTCTGTTCAAGTAAAAAAAACAGTCCATGAATATTGCTGATTGCTCTGGGTGTGGGAAAGGAGAATGTCTTCATAGTGGCCTTTAAATCTTTTTTGAGCACCAGCTTGAATCATAATCATAAAGCCGTAAGAACAGACAAGTGGTTGGTACCAGATCCTCTGTTTCATCACTGCGTATTCACTACCTCTGCTCCAGACTCTTGCATCTTCCCTTTGCCTCCTCTTTGCTAGACCAAACACACACAATTTTATCAACTTTTCTATGCATCAGGTTTCCTCACCGCTTATCAGCCTTCCTCTTCTGGGCTCTCCTCAGTTCATGCTTTGAGCTGGATGCTGTTTTCCAGCTAAAACATTGGCAGCATGGAACAGAAAACAATGGCTACTTCAGCACATTGCACACACACATGTGAACATAGCAGGCACCTCACAGTGTTTTCCTTCTAGTTTTCTGTTCTTTTGTGACAGGATGCTATCACAGCACAGATAAGTGGCATAAAGACAATTCTGTTGGGAATGTATTTTGCAGCTATTCCAAGGTCAGAAGCCTCATACATTTGGTTTTGGTGTTGTTTTTTTTTTTTTTTTATTTTCCACATGTATTCCTTAGTCACTTCTAGCTTTTTCCCCCTAGGTAACGCACTAATGAGCTGAAAAAGCAGCTTTGAGCCCTTTTTGGTCAAAGGAAAACAAATATAATGTTGGTAGTCATTCTGTTACCCAATATGAACGCTTTCCTTTGAAACCTAAAGAAAGGACTAAGTGTACAGAACTTCCTGGAGTTCAGGCAGGTTACTTCTGAAAGGGTGAAATTCAGCTGCACTTTCTGCTCATACAGATATTGCTGTTGCTATGCAGAAAATTCAATACCAACAGTTGGAGATAGGTGTTGCAATACTTTGGAGTGTTGTCACATTTCAAGGGGTGAAGAAGTTTTTATTCTAAATCACTGTCATTTAATTCAGCCTGGTTGAAGGAGTCCACAATTTCTTCAACACATCATCTCTTACTAATGTGGAAGAAGTACGGTCAATCTTAAAGCTCAGTGAAGATGGCGGTTTGAGACTATAGATTTCCATAACGCTTACTTAGGTTGTATTCTTGACAAAGATAAATATAGGCAGGAAATAACAAAATATTGATCACAAATTTCTGTCATATCAGCACAAGAGCTGGAAATAGTACATCTGAGTTTCTTGCGTACCATTTTAGTCATGCTGGGATTGAGCAAAATGCAATGCTGCAACTACCAGCAGCCTTTCTTTAACAGATACTGAATTTAACTGTACAATTAATGTATTCTTGTAGCTATGATAACTTTAATGTAATGCCACTAACTCATTAAATATGTTGTTTGCAGACTTTGTCAGGTAGTTTAATTTATGGTGGACTTACTTACCTTCAAAATCCAGGAGTTTTAACTCATCTGACGTGCCAGCTGTCAAATCAACCATACACTAAGTAAAAGGAATGTAGTACCAACCAAGACAAGCAAGGGATTACTTCCTTTGATAAAGAACAAAATCAAAACTATGCTAAGGTCTTTTGAGTTCCAGTATAATATTTTGCAAAGGGGGCAGGAAAAGAATGAAAGCACAAGACAAGATTTCTTCATGCATAAAACACCCCAGCAGTCTTAGACACAACACATATTATTGGAGGAGAGCATAGTTAACAGCTGCATAGCACTATAACCAATAAATAGCAGTAAAGAAATTGAAATTCTCTATGCCTGCCTTGATGATGGTTGGGTCCTTCCGTAACATACTAGTTCCACAAGTATTTATATATGCACTTAACCTTCCTTACAAATCTTCACATATGTGAAGTGAGTAAGCATATGAAGACATGAGAATGTTTACAAGGTTATGCAGAATTCAGACTTGAAACAATAAAATAAAAATCTTTGAGGTTTGGTATGTTTTGGTTAGTGCTTTAGTTTTTGTACATGTTAGACTGACCACCTACATGGTATCAAATTCTGTGTACATTAGCAGTCCATTAGTACAGTTTTAAAAATTTGGTGCATTAATACTTCATGAACATGCAGTTGTCTTCCTCTGTTGTTCTCTGGAACTCTGTTTTTAACAGGCACCGGTGACAACTATTGAGTGGTATTTATAGCTTTGTTTTGCTCTCTACTGGAGGAGCTAATCTCAGACTTTTCATTCCAGTACCTCAGATTAATTTTCCACAAATCAACCTCAAACAATTTCTAGTGCAGATGTTCTTACATTGCAGGAAGTATCCCATCCAAGATAAAGGTGCTGTATAGATAGGAAAGAGGTCAAGGGACAATAATCTTTTTGCAAGTCAGCAAAAGATAGTTGTAATGAGCATTAAGAAAAATATTTTACAATTAAAACAGAAAAAGAAACCATCTGCCTACTCCACTTACTGTTCCTTTAGTAAATCTAAGTAGCTTCATAGAATTCAAATGTGACTTATTTTTAACATCTACTAGTTCTAGTTTTGCCTTTTTCAAATAACTGCAAGAGAGTTTTACTAATCACTTTGTATGGTCAGTCCTGAAGTGACTTCTTTTTATTATTACCTTTGCTGTTTTCTAGAGTTACCCATGTTTTATATTTCTTTCCTGGGACTTTAGATATTCTTTAGATTCAAGCCTTGTTTCTTCCCATAGATACTAAAGAACAGTTTGATTCTTCTGTCTTTACCCTTGCTCAGTGTCATTTATTCTATATTGTTTTCTGATATCAAGAGAACTGCAGAACAGAGGCAAGGACAATAAAAATTTTAGTTAATGAACTAGCTTGGATACAAGCAGAATACCATAAACTTTAACCAGTTTGATATTTCACATCAGTGATCAACACATTACATTGCCTTTGTGACATAGCCAACACATCATAGGCCTTATAAGAGTATGTGATCTTGGTGAGACAAAGTAAAATTCTGCTAGTTTCAGGTCACTGTATTCTAGTTTTGTATCAAAACATTTTATATCAACACCAGTTTCATTCCAATAAGCTGTTAGCATTCCTTCAAAATACCACACTTAACGATTCCCAACAGCTGCAACTGTCAAACCCCCAAATTTAAATGTTTATATTACACAAGGGAGAGTTATGAGGAAGACTAACGCATATTTCTAGCACAGCTTTGTCAGTAGCATAGCTAGTTATGATAACATTTTTAGCCAAAGTATCAATACAAAAAAATCTGACTCATGCATTGATTTCAGTTGAGCAAAGTGGTAAATCTAACGGTGAATGGAGTTAAGAATTAAGTAACATATCTGTATAATTCTGTTCAGGCTCTTTTGAACATGAAGTAACAAATTTGCCTTTGTTTTGTACTTTGTTATGAACTGCCTTCTTGGTTACCTTTTAAAAATTTGGTTAAGCATGAAAGTAATAAAATCTAAGATCACATCCTATTACAAATACTTAAATTGGAAAGCTAAGTATGAGGAGAACAAAAATCTGTCTGGAAAAACAGATAACTAATGCTCCCACTGGTTTGATGCCAGTTCTGCAATTAAGACTGGGCTTAGGTCTGGCATCAAATGATATTCTCAAGTAGGCAGCTGTTTCAGGAAAAGAGCCAAAACTGTTCCTATGTCAAAAACACAATGACAAAAATCAACATAGCCTGCCAGCTGACATTTTTCACAGAACTGTAAAGTGTCCAGCAGAACAACTTGAATGGAATAATTTTTGAAAACTAATAATTACATTTCAACAATATTGCTAGTTTTCCTCTCAGAAGTCTGTAAATATTTCTCACAGGTGAATGATTATCTATTTTACTGATTATTTTATGCCTTCTAAACAGGCAAAACACTATGAACAGCAGTTTTTTTCCTCACAAGCAAGATACCCCTTTTTGGCAGATTGATCTAGTCTGTTGAAAGTCACCATTTAAAGTGTAGATTAAAAAAAACATTCAAGTGAAGTAGATGCTCAGCTCCTTTAATAGGCAAAACTATTTTCAACATGTTCTGATAGACATTGCTTTTAATTGTAACAATGTATTATCTCAAGGCACTCAAAGCTGAACAAATTTACATAAAAAATGTTTGTTTCCAGCAGCATTTAGTATGTAATTTAAAAATTTCTTATATCTTAGATGTGCCTAGAAAACACATCATCACTGTATTTAAAATTGCAACTTGTCAAACTACTGAATTCAATAAGCAGTTTGAAACTGCAGAGAGAACAAATGCAACACAAGAAACAGAATAACATGGTTTTGCATTTGAAACAGTTGTAGTTTGTATAAGTTCTCATGTTAATCCAGTGCCATGAAGCTTGAAGGAATCCCACTGTGCCTTCAAAACCAGCATCTTATATAGCCTTATTTTTATTATAATTAACATAATATTACTACTTTCCCTTGCAATTCAGCAAAACCACCATTTCAAATGATCAGCCTGGCACCTCTCCTTCCTGGTTTAATTTTACATTTGAACTGCAGACAGAACAGCATGGTTTTAATGTTTTTTCCATTTAGTAAATACCTTAAGTCCCACCTCTCCAAAGTGCTGCTATCAGTGCCCCATTTTCAGAGCATATGGCCATTTGTGAGTGAAAATAAGATTTTATGCATAGTATAAGATTTCCAAGTCTTACTTAAGGCTCTGTTGAAATATTTCTTGAGTCTCTTAAGCCTTTCATTCTAACAGCTGGCTCATATGAGCTTATTGAAAGGCAGTAATTTTTTTTTCTCCTCATCCAGTACCCTGTTTGCTGTCTTATTTGGAAGGATTTAGTAACAGCTGTTCTTCCATAGTGTGATCTCCAGAGTCATGATCCATTTTCCTCCCTTATGAAAAAAAATCAGGGAAATAAGGTTTCATCCGACTTGAACTGTATTTGCTGTGGCACACGTTGCACTCCTCCCATCTCTGACATCCAAATTAGAATTTCTTATACCAGTCTTGGTAATTTCTGCAGGCAGTGGTTGACTTGACCTTTTAATCCAGCTAGCTTTTTCCACTAGAGGACTAAAATCATGGGCTGACTTCAGTCAATGGGTTGTGAAGAATTAACGTGAATCATTGCCATTCCAAATTACCAGTGCTGTGATCCATGTAACAAACTGCAGAAAAGTCACAACAGCCTATTTACCTTAGAAGGACAGTTTGGGCAATGGCTGCCTCGTCCCAGAGGACTACATTTGGTCACTGAAAGTGCAGTCACTACCACCTGTGCTGCGTTCTCTCCAAGGCAAAGGCAAGTGTCCAACAATGCCCGAGTGCGGCCAGTCACTGTGGGGTAAGAGGTAATTATCTCATAATCCATTCGGGACAACATTTGTTGTGAGCGAAGGACATCGAGAATGTGGTTGAGACGTCCTTCTGTCATGCAGTTCAGTATGGTCTGTCTCTGGCAGGCTAGTATTTGACAACAGTTTCCTTTGCAGCAAGGATCTTGAGTGAAAAGGAAACAAAATAAGATAAACTAAGTGCCTTTTTTTTTCCAGAAGTTGTTAGCAAGTGATAGCATCAACACCAGAAATATAAACTCAATAAAGGGGGAAGAGTTAGTTGTTTTGCATTCTTTGTTCAAAACTAGTCTAATGTACTTTCATCTTTCATTCGAAACTCATGAAGATCAGATTATAGAAAATAAGTGTTTCTAAAGATTAAGTGCCAGATTGTGTAAGGGACAGGGGAGATTTTCAGGTCTCACACTGTTCATCTAGCATCTGCATCAAAATGTGTGCAAAGGAGCTTGGCTTGACATAGATGAGAAAACTGTCCGGTAGACCGTGAAAGAACAGATAATCGGTAGTTCAGAGTAGTAGGACTGTTTGAAACATGTATTGTGAAACTGGGAACTTGAACATATGTCAAAGCCAAACTAGTAACAGAAGTAATACACTTGGCAAAATTATCAAGAACTTTGGGTTCTGTCTCTTTTCAAACTGATTACAATACTTAGTACTGACATGAGAGGTTTTAGTGTACAGTAAATACCATACACCAAGAGAAAATTAATAACCAAAAGTCATGTCGCTTTGGAGACCATGCCTGTGTCATTCTGATTGTTGCCAATAGATTGCTGAGATGAACTTTTCCTGCACGAACTAGTCTGTTGATTTATCCAGAAATTATGTCACCACTCAGAAGTAAGTTGAAGTGGAGAAGAATGACCAGCTAGATGAGAGAACTGTCATAGGCCAGCTTGCAGAGAGTTAGCAAGAAGCTTTACAAGCTTTTTACCTACAGGCAGATGCAGGCTTCACAAATCAAAAGCTGGCCTTTTCTGCCTCTGTTCAGTAGGAAACTTTCCGGCTCTGTTCAGTAGGAAAAACTATAACCATGTAAAAAAGGAAATGAATGCCCCCCCCCTTCTCCTAGTCACTTGTTTTTATAGTCAATAGCTACTTTTGTAGAGGTATAGAATACACAGCTTGAAATAAAAGAAAATCCTAGAATTAAACAACTAATGCCTTTTATATTCAATGTGTGCTATATTTTTTGTATTTTTATTATGGTCTTTTCAGAACTGTTCTCAGCCTGAATATGGCCCTGGAAAAAAAAAGCCAATGTTTTCAGTGGCCAATGCCTGAACTTCTGAGAACATAGGAATAGCTATATGCAAGCTCATATATAAACTCATGAGACATTTGTATCAAGTTTGGAAAGGTTATTACACTAATACCTGAAAACGTGCACAAAATTTAGACAGGTGTGTGTCCAAAATTTAAACAATTTAATCACCAAGATCTGGCGAAGGAGAATATTGCCTCCTCAAACTGGAAACAGGGTCTTACCTGTCACTGCTTGTTCAGGATGCATACGTTGTGGTCTGTGCTTAACAGCCAGTGGTGGGTCCTTATGCAGACTACTTTTTTTGGCTGTAGTTGAACCAGATAAAGGAATCGTGCAAAAGGAATTTGATTTTCTACTGTCAGAGTCTGGGTGATCTAGGAAGAGTTTGAGATAAGTAAGATGAGATTCTTGAATTGAACAACAGAACATTATACATATGTCAGCCACTGCAGAGGACTGGAGCTGAAGTGAAAACTAACTTGGAAACACTTGCTTGTTACTAGCTGTTCTTTGGGCTCTTGTTAATACGTGATTATTCCTAGGAAGATTTTGGCATATATTACTACACACATCTAGCTTTTTCAAATTGTCTGCAGGAATTTGTTTCTGAAGTTATAGAACATTCTATTCTGTCTGTAAGTCTGACAGCTATTGGTCAGAACTAAAATGGTTGGAAATGCAGATGTTGCTGTAATTGAATTAATTTCTATGGCTCAATTTTTGTATCCAAAGGCATGAGGAGTACAGAAAAGGCTTTTAAAGAAATACATCACTTGACAAATTTAAAAGCTTCAACAGGACAAATCCACATTGGAAAGGCAAAGGAAGTTATTTATGTAGGAATGGTGATTACCAGGAACCATTCACATTTTTTAAAAAGACGGTGTTGCCAGGTACATCTCCTTTTCTTATTAGGAAATTACAAAAAAGCAATTATTCCTGGTGGCACAAGGCAGTGTAGTTCCCAGGAAGGACTTGTTCTGTCAAAAGCAACAGGCAGTATTTGACATGCAAGGGAAAGGCAGCTGTGCATTACAGGTCAGGGTTCAAAAAAAAAAAATTACCCAAAGAGGCTTTTTGATCTATACACTTAATCAAAAGGCATTGTGGCACCTCTGATTTTCTACAGTAAACTCATGCTTCAGGTGACAGCAGTAGAGGGCACAGCTGTACTCTGAGAAGGGACAATTTCACATGGAAAATAACGTGTATATGGAACAACTAGTAATATTTATCCTTTTCTTAGAATAGTTGGAGCAGATTATGTTTCAAGGTAGAGACCTTTCTTTGTTGTTGTGTTCTGTGGGATAGTATTTGACAGGCCTGTCTTGAGAATATTTTCTCTTCCTACATTATTTGCACTGCTATCAAGTAGAATAGTTGACAGGCTTGGCACTACAAGAGGAATTTTCTTGCTGATTACATGGTTGAGTTTTGGTGAAGAGATGACCTGAAAAAGATCAAAATAGAGAAGAATTATATTCTTAGAAACTTTTGTTCCAAAACCTTTTCTAAGCAGTTTTCTTTTGGAATATAAGACAGCGGTATCACGTTGCCTGGTGGGGTGGGCACGCAGCTGTTGATCCTACAGACATACTTAATTCTACTTTAGCTGGTTAGCTTGGGTCACTGTGGCAGCAGAGATCCATAGTCTAACTATTCTAGGCTTTACTGCAGTCCTAGATTGCTTCTGCAGCCTGTGCTGCCAGCAGCCATGGTGTCACCAGAACCTGAGCAGTTTAAAGCTAGCTCTGATCCAGGCAGATGAGCTTCAGTTCTATCGATATCTTTCAGTATTGGCAGCCCTGCCACAAGTACCAAAATAACTTTGAAAGTGAGACTTAACTGTATTTTGGAGTGATCACAAAGCAGTTGACCTTGATCTAAGAAAATTGGTTGAAAATGCTAGAATTCAGCCTAGGACTTTTTCCAGCCATCATGTTGAACACACTACAAGAAAGGTTAGATATTTGCCATTTCATTAGGATCTCTTCAAGAAGGAGAGGGTCAAAGCAATTCTTAAGCAGAAGAGGTTTTCACAAGAGCAACATCAGAGTCAGCTGCTTGGAAGAAGGTGTAACAGTGGGCTTTGTTGGTTAACTGGACGGAGTTATCCTGATTAGGGACTAAAAGGGTTAGTGACATTTTGCCCCACAGTGTTTGTATTGTATATTGTCAGGGCTGGCAGGAGAAGCAAGCAGCTTATGAAGTAACTTTTGTAAGACTCTCATGCCATGTACTCACCTCTGAATTGCCTATGTCTGTCTGCAATGTGTATATTTCTGAACCTTTGCATGCATTAAGTGCTCTCTCCTGGAAAAAAACAGTAGAGCAACTCTAGTAAGTATACGTATGGTTTGTTCAGTTCACAGTTGTCAGGAGCAAGACACAGAGTTTATACTGTCAATATATATTACACTCTCAGGTACGCTGATATATAGTAACAGTGAATTGCACAGGGCAATTTTGCATTTTAACTCATGTAAGTGGGCACAGAATCTGACACAATCCTACCCTATTACTGGTTTTGCTGATTTAAATTTATTTTAAAAACCAGTTTTGAATCACACAGGGGAAGGTGAAAATAGCCCTGTATTGAGAGAGAGATTGGGCTAGCTTTAACGTGTTTTCCTTTAACTACCCAAACAGCAGTGCTGTCCTGTGTTTAGTATGCCAAACTGTCTGCAGTAAGGATGTGTCAATATTGTAACTTTTTTCATTTTGTACCTCTTGATGCAGATTTGTTGAACTATTTTTAGTTTATATACTTCAACAAGTATGAATCAATCTGTTTGCAAGAATCTCCAGTAGCATTTTCACAGCCATTTTGGACATAATCAGTTCAGTTGTTTGAACAATAACTAGTGCTGTTTGCTAATTTAGCAAATGGAAAAATAAAACCTTGCTCAAGGGAAATCAAAGCATTATATTATGGAATATGTGGCAGTACATTCCTAAATAAACTTAAACAGTAGTAAAAATGACTTGGACTATGACTATGCCACCTATTAAAACATTGTTCAAGTCTGTTCCCTAATCCCAGAATGTGATTGCAACATGTAGAAATAATTCAGCATGCATTACCATAACTCACATAAGCACAGCAATGAAACCAACAACATGGCATGGGTGTAAATGGAGTCAGAATAGTGACTCAGGTTGTGTCACTAGTTTTCCCACTATGAGTATCCAATTAACTAGGTAGGATATAGTTGTATTTCTGGCACTCAGATTTACACCAGATTTCCCATGGCAGTGCAGACATATACAGAATTAGCTATATCCCTCAGTTGTTGGCCATTCCCCACCCATTCCTGTAGTATCAGAGAACCCTCTTAGACCCTAGGACAAACAGTGTCTTGTGTCTGAACCACATCAATTTAAAAGCAGTGAAGCATACAAAAAAGTGCTGGTACTAGTATTGCTGCAGCAGGTACTAACGCCATCCAGGTTCTGGAATAAATATCTTCTTACGAGTACATAAACCAAAAGTTGTCCTTGATTCTAGCCCTAATCTGATCTACTTGAGGCTGATCCTTATTCTCACTCACATGGGTTTACTAGTCTGGCTACAGCTGGTTATTGGAAAGAAGCTGTCATATTTTTATAATCTCAGGTAGAAACTGTCATGGTCTCTAGAGAACCTCACAATATCTATTTTCTACAATTCCTGAAAGAACCTGAAGCACCAAAGGGTACTTCTCCAGCTCTCTGACATGTCCAATAAAACAAAGACAAAACCTTTCTTGATTTTGGACCACAAAGATTGCAATTGAAAGAATCAAGTAATTTCCTTGTGGGAGAATAAAACTTAATTTTGCACTAACCTTTGCATCCATCAGATTGTAGATTGCAGTGGAAATTGCCTCCTTATTTATACTAGTCAAAATTCCATTTAGAAGGTCTATGCATTCTGCAGGGGTAATAAAGCATTTTAAATACCACATTGCATATGAAAATGTGCATATATTTAGGCATCAGTGTATTGCAACTAACTTTACTATTATGTTGACTAGTTCAATACAACTTCCACCTCATACCTCCTCTTGGTTTCCTTTTTAAACTGATTTTAAAGAATGATTACAGTTACATTAAAATCACATTTTCTTAAATGTTCATACAGATGTAGTGAACTAACTTGCACAAGATTTACATGTGACAGTATACATCTATCACAAAGCTATATACAAATGGCTTCCTCAGCTCTCCAGCTTTGAAAATTTTCTCAAAAGTCCTTACATGTCATGATTTTAACGTTTCTGGGCTATCTTTTTAGAAACAGATGATAAACATAACAATTCCACTAAAGTAATCAATGATAGCACACTTCAAAGGGAACTGGTTTTGCATTGGAATCAAGAAATGCTGAAGAAGGTTGATCTTTGTTAAACTAGTATATATAGCTGATAGTATTCCTTCCTTTATGCATACTCATTTTTACTTTATACTAAATACAATCTTGGATGATAAGCAAGCCATTTCTGGTAGGAAGCTTCAGTGAGAAAACACATCTACAGTACCCTGATGATCTAAAAACTGCTTCCACTTCACTTGTTCTGCTGTTTTGGAGTGCTGGAGCAGTGTTCCCAACAAGACTATCTGCATTACACATCTTGCAAAGCAAGCAAATCCTGAACTTCACCTGCAGCACATGGTCTATAATCTGGTTCTTGATGCCAGCACAGAGCAATAAGGTGCAACAGTCTATTCCTCTCAGGCAAATTGCTTGGTATAAACTTTTCTGAAACGCCAGGCCTCAAACTGCTGTGGATTCCCATCAAAACTTCCAGCAGGGTTGTTTGACCTGCAATTTATATGAAAATGTCACTGTAAAAAATAAAGACCTCAGAACTCTCTTAAGTGATATTCAGCATAAGTTGTTTTGTATATTTTAAAACAAAGACTGCTTTTTTGAATGCAAAAATATTGTAAATAGATATGCTAACCTTTAACAATAACTATAGCTACTTACTGCATCAGGACATTTCAGGATAAGAACTCTGTCCAAATAACATCACAAATGGATGTGTGAATGCATGTTATAAACCACATGCACAGATACCTCAGGAATACATGTAATTATTATGGGTATATTCTAAGCACACGGTTTTATATAAAACCTTACACCTGCATTTTAAGAATAGAACACCTACTGTACAAAAAGTCTATTTTGGGCAGCCACAAGATGGCAGCCATAAGCTGTATGAACATTAAGGTACCATTCCATGCAGCATTTCTAAAAGGTCCTCAAGCCTGTAAAATAGAGGAGTCCTTCAACCAGTTCTGCCTTGCAGAACTGAGCCCGTAGCAAAGAAGCCTTTCACTGATCTCCATCTCCATAAAACAGGGATCATTCTTAGACTGTGACAATTATTACACAGTGCTTTGCAAACTAAGTTCTTTAAAACTGCCCACACTTTGATCTGAGAAAGTAAGATTCCCTGCTTACTTAAGAGAATTCAGCATGAAACGGTCTTTCTTGATCAGGATTTGAAAGTCACTGCAGCTTTAAAAATGAGCATTCTGCTCATCCAGTTAGCTGCTTGTCACTAAAATGTTCCCTGATTTTAAAATGACAACTGTCAAATCTAATACATTCTTTCTCACTAAAGGTAAGTGGAAAACCCAGCTCACAGTGCTTGAGCAAGCTCAGACAGATGGTACAAGTGGGGTAAGAAGCTACACCTTTCCCTGCAGAAAGATCAGCTTCACTGGAAACACTGAGGATTTCAGCCTGGAGAAGAGAAGGCTGCAGGGAGACCTGATTACGGCCTTTCAATACCTAAAGGGGGTCTATAGGAAAGATGGGGAAAATCTTTTTAGTAGGGCCAGCTGTGACATGATTCTATGATTCTATGATTCTATGATTCTATGATTCTATGATTCTATGATTCTATGATTCTATGATTCTATGATTCTATGATTCTATGATTCTATGATTCTATGATTCTATGATTCTATGATTCTATGATTCTATGATTCTATGATTCTATGATTCTATGATTCTATGATTCTATGATTCTATGATTCTATGATTCTATGATTCTATGATTCTATGATTCTATGATTCACTGAGGGATTCTAATCTTTACATCCTGTCACATGGATCTATGTGCTGGAACAGTAACATAACACAAAGGGACATCTGAAAAGACAGTGCTG